TAGTTTACTGACCAGAAGTGACATGTAAATGCGGCAACGGTGCGGCAGGTGCGCAGTGCTCACGCGGCATCGATATAGGTAATTATTTACTTTATTTAGATATTTATCTTTGCTTGGTTGGGAAGTGTTAATGCATCCTCCATATAGTCCTGACCTTGACCCTCAGATTTTCAGCTGTTTCGGTCTCTTACGAATTATTTGGGTAGTGTAAGGTTAACATCAAGAGAGGACTATCAAATCTACTTGTCGCATCTTTTTTTTTAATTAAAAATCCCAATATTTCTATAGCAACGGGATTATGTTACTACATACAAGATGGCAACAAGTTATCAAACAAAATGGCTCATACATATTATTAACCACCTCAACGCACAAAGAAGAGACCGAAATATTAGAACACACAATTTTTTTTAATAAATAAATTTTAAAATAATGCCATTTAAATTACTAAAACTCCCTTTGACCACTATTGGCAAGCTTAAAATAGAGTGACGGATTCGAGCCCACAACCTTTTGAGTTCGCAGTCTGCTCCCAGCCATTAGGCTACTGTCGCTTACAACGCTGTGTTCTATCTCATTATCACGCAGGCTAAATTCTATAGATGTTTACTGTTTACGTTTGTCTCTTCTTAGTGTCGCTTTTTCGTTTCATCCAGTTTTAAATCACAACGACGCTAAAGAAGTCTTCACTTCAAATCCATAACGTGCTTATCTTTTGTATTGTGAATGTTGTTTTACATACATAGGTACATTGCACAAGGAGAAACATCCAGATCCGGAACTATTATTTGCAGCCGTATAAACATTGCTTCAAGCGAAATTGGAATCTGCAGTACCGCCACCAGTCGCTTTATATAATTAGGGTCACAAGCGAGCACACACTCTACTCAATGGTAAATGGATGCTGTGACGTATAGATATCTACATCTATAATCAATTAAAACCAGAATATTAGCATTTTGGTTTTTAATTGAGAAAAGTATCCCCGGTTCCCTTCATTCACTATACGAAACACAGTAAAGCTACTGTGTTTCGTATAACCTTTGAGTTTAGTGATTTTTGGAAAATTACTATAGGTAGGGTTTCTTATATCCGTATCGGAAATAGGAAAACAAATAAAAGAAAAACTATAATTAGTTAGAGTTTATTACATTCAAAAATGTAAGTTATACACGTAGACAAAATGCCCCAACTAAGTTAAACATTAAATAAAGCTACCGGCTGATGTTGAAAAAATTTTAAATAAATTTTCGCAATAATATTAACAAATTAATAATCATAAAAAATAGAAAACTAAATGAAGTTATTTATTTGGCATGTGTTTGCTGAATATAAATCGAAAATGTATTAAAATATATTATTCTAATAGCATAAATACAATAATGATTATTAATTTAATATACATAAACATTTACTGGACACATTAAATTTTATATCGTGGTGTCAAAGACAACGGAATAAAACTACTCGATAACTACACATTTACCTAGCAGTCAAATTTGGTTACTTTGAGTTATATAAATAGATCGATAAAAGTTAATTTTTAACTCGAATAATTATTAATAAGACACGATAATTAGCCTTAATTTACTTACATTAAGAATAGCTAGTCCTATAAAACATCCCGTAGAGTTCGAAATATTGTTTTCTTTTCTGGCCACATTTATCAAAATAATTTTAAGAAATTTTGTGGCAACAGCAAAATGTTTATAATTTCGAACCACACACAGGGAAGATGTTTTTAAAATATAATTACATATATAAAACAACTACTGTCATTACACACATCTAACCTAATAGAATTGGTGTTACAATACCTTCAGTGGACGAATCGCTTTCGCGGGCATCTCCCTATAATCTATAAACTAGTCATTAATTCAATACAATAGTATTTTCGTCGAAAAAAGCAAAAGCTGCTATACAGTTAAGGCACAAGGTTTTGTTTTTTATAAATATAACTGTGTACTTATATTCTTGAAGTTTCATTGTATAATACCACATTAATACTAATTTCTATAAAATACAAGTTCCATTTGTTAATGCAAACATGCTTCAACATTAATTTGTTAATAGGTTAATAAATATTTCTAATTCGAAACAAAAAATAAAGTTTACACAAAAACTCAAATACCATAAACTGAAGACAAAAAAAATGTAACTGCTGTAATCATAGTTACATTAGCTACAAGATCTAAAAATAGAATCATATTAATATGGAAGTAATAAGAGATTTCAGCAAAAGAAATCGTAACGTTTTTTTATGCGATATTAAAATTAAACAGAGATCGAGTTCCTTTCAACTAAGACTCATTTTGTAATAATTAAAGCATTAAAATAAAAAGCCATAATTATATATAATGTGTTAACTTATAAACAAAAGTGCTATTTAATTATGAAAATCGCACCGAACATTCACTACCACTATTATAGACTTTACAAAATCACACAATAAAATATTTATAACTTATTATGTAGTTGTGTATGGCACATACTTCATAATCTTCATTGAGGTCAACTATTGAATGCAGTTAATGTTTTATTTTTGCTAATTGAAGGCACAAAGTTGCTGCTATTTTACGCTGGTACCCTGTGAGAGCGTGGTCCTTTCCCGGTGGAGCCGTACCATTCGTGCTAATCACAATATAGCTGTGGCATGGCTCTACCATGTAATAAATCGCAAAAAAACGAAATATCGCGTTTTGTAAATCTCCCATGCGTTGAAGATATTATGTTGGATCAACGGAGAACCAGTGTCAGTTATAGATCTGCCTTTTTCAAAGCCATATTGTTTTATATATGAAACATACTGTTAACATTGAATGCACCCATTACACCATTGCTGATCATAAGTTCCTGGGTTCGAATCCTGTGTAGGGCTAAATCAGTAATTGGGTTAAAAATTCTTAGTAGAAAACTGCTTCTGATCTCTCTCTCTCTCTCTCTTTGCTTGTAGTGCACTATGTTTTTTCTGCGTAGATCACTTTCCGTTGGGAGTTGTGACTGCCTGCCGTAACATAAATTCGCTCTGGAGTACGTTATTAATACTGCCAAGGAAAACTCCCATAAGTCCTCAGTTTTCATCATATTTAAAGATTTTTTTATTATAATATTGTTCTTGTATCTCTAGCTTTGGTTCTTTACGCCTTTGGTTACCTGGAACAGATCAATATACAGCGATAAGGCCGCTTAATTAGGTATGCCATCTATTTAGTTTCTTTTTTCTCTTTATTTGGATCACCAACAGACGATACACAATACTAACAAAAATATAACTTAACAATGCGACTACATGCTTTGTGTTCATCTTCTTACAGGTAACCACAACTTACATAAAGAGCGAAGTGATTTTTTTTTTAAATTATGTTTATGTATCTTTTTGTTTTGTGGCGATGGCGTCCAATAAAAGTACAGCCGTTCATTCATTTTTGTCATCTATTGGATTGGTTCTAAAGGTCTGGGTGCTTTTACCTACAGTATTTCTCCTAAAAGTGATTCACCGCTTTTACCAGTGTTTTTATTGAACGCGAGATTTCTAAAAAAGCATTAAAGATATTAGGAACAGACTCCTCAGGCCTGTTTTTGATTTCCTAAATACGTTTAGAAAGTTGATTCATTTCAATGTCACCTATGTATAAAGATAATTATAAGAGTTATTGAAGTTATCAAGTTAAAATCATATTTGCATATTAAAATTCAAATACTCGATATTTATGTACTTAACTGATAAACTCAATTTAGATAATTTAGATAATGGATTTAAATAATGTATTGCAATGTATATAAATAACGACAACAGAGCTGTAACTTCATATTTTATTCGAACAGGATACTGCAAAGCTGACTAGCAGTCAGCCCATTAATTTAATATGGGCTTGACAAAACATATAGTTGTATTCCTTGTTCTATCACTTCTTGCAGTAAGTTTTCTTTTAATTATGTTGTTATTATATTTAAACATGCACTTAATTTGTTTCTCTTTAGTTTTTATTGCATAAAAATATTATGTATCTGTCAATAATATTCATAAAATATTAAATATTCAGGTTTCGTTAACGACTTGATATGTAAAAATATTGGTCTTTTAGAGTGGAGAGGCTCTATCGGTCTGTTGTCAAATCTTTCTATAACATTTAATTAAATAAAATTAAAGACAGCCCAATTATTTGAGTATGATACTTTATTTAAGCACTTACTCGTTTTTGTAGTTTAACTAGGTACTTACTACGTACTTACTTTTCTGGCGTCTGTTCTGGGGGTCTTGACCCCACGAGGCGGGTATGCGTAGGCATTTCCCCATGTAAAAAAGGTAGTACAGTAGTGCATACACTCCTTTGTTCCGGTTTGAGGGGTAAGAGGTTCCGTATAATAGAGCCTGAGATGCATTTCATCTTATAACATTGTCCTCAAAGGTGACAACTCATCTGTGGTCTTTCTTGTTCGAAGTTGGTGGTGGCAGTGGCCTGTATCCGTAACTGTAGACTAGAACACCGCAGTTCAAGCACTGTTATTTGGCGGCAGGAAGTTGGTACCTATTTAGACCAGGGATTGTATGACCGAAAAATTATGGGTTATAACGGTTAAGGGTATGACGTCATACCTTTTTATTGCGATAGCTTAAAATTCAGATACACAAATTTTTCGGTACAGAAATATAAGGGTACCGTTATATTTTTCTCTACTTTAACCATCAACATAAAGGTTTCTTTATGTTGATGGAGCGCTCACAGTAAATTTCATAGTGAGCAAGCTACCTGAATATGAGCCGCGACGCTACTAATGCAATTATTTTTGAAAAGTGTACTGTGTGTAATACTAAGTACTGGATGTACCGTGTGCTCGGCGGTGAAGGAAAACATTGTGAAGAAACCTGCGTATTCGAGGAATAAAAATATTTTGAGGACATTATGACAGAATGACTGCCCTGTAACTTTTCACAAGTGAGGACAGACCTGTGAGACTTATATAATATGCTTTCATTTTTGTTTACGCTTTAATTTCAGAGTGTTTGCACCTCGGCGACAGTTCCTTGGTATCAGCTCAACGATGGACGTCGGATGCCAGGCATCGGCTTAGGCACATGGTTTGGCATGTTTAATACGGTATGTAGTCCTTTTCCCAATATTTTAGATATTTCATGCAGTGTAATAGCGGCATACAACAATCCATTACCCCGTAGTATCATTTATTTTAATTTTATTCGTTGTTTCTGCCTTACTTAAGAAGAAGACTAGAGCTTTTATTTCGATAGTTATACGAAACAGTTATTTATAGTAGGGTAAGGCAAGAAAAGTGAAATTAGTGCATGAAGGGAAAGTGAAGTTAGAAATAAAAAATAATACTTTAAAAAGCTTTTTAACGAATCTAAAATAAGTTTAAGTTCAATACGAAATGGGATGAGATAATTTTTTTCATGATTTTATGTCCTATCCCGTATTATTACTTACCTTATTTAGACGCATGCAGCAGAAGTGTTTCCCGATCAAATGGAGCAAGCCGTGGCCTGGGCAATCGATGCTGGGTACCGGCTGTTTGATGTTGGCGTGATCTACCAAACGGAAGAAGCGGTGAGATAAAACACGATTTTTTTTTTGTTGATACATTTACATATTTATTGTAGATCTTAACTGGTAGAGTATATCTATCAGAATGTCAAATCCTCAATAATATACCGCCTCGTCCGCCCTCGGTTTACAATTCGACAGAATCTTTATTTTCTTATCTATGTACACGGATTACTCGAAGACGTCTGAACTGTTTTAGAAAATTCTTTTATATTTTAAAGGGTATACTTCCCAGGTAGTCCCATTTAAATTTTATGGAAATCGGTCAACTTGCGGAGTGTTGATATTAAATTTCATATATAATCGTAAGGAGCAAACTCCAGTCGTGCGTCGGAACACACACACACTTTTTTTGTGTTCTTATCGCTATGACAAGAACCAATTCGACGGCTCCGTGGCACAGTGGCTTAGCAATGAGTTGTTGTGCTGGGGGCCGCGGTTTCGAATCCCACACGGAACAAGTATTTGTATGGCCTACAACTCTGTGTAAAAAGTATCGGGAATATGTCAATAAAAAGACCCGCGTAAAAGAGGTCGTTCTAATTTTTTTACTGCATGTTGGTAGCACTGTACTGATTTAGCGCGCAAAGTTTGAGCGGGATCTGTCATTTAATTTGTTTTAAGCTACACTTTTTGTTGGTCATAGTTTTGAGTTCTCGGCGATTTTTACAATGGCAAATATTGTTGAACAAAGAGTGTGCCTTAAATTTTGTGTTTCGAATGATATTTCATGTGGTGAATTACTAAAAATGTTGCCAAATACCTACGGCGAATCGTGTATATCGAAAACAAGGGCTTATGAATGGTATAAGGCTTTTAAAGAAGGCCGAGAAGTAGTAGTAGACTTGCCTCGTTCTGGTAGACCTTCAACCGCTACGACCAAAGAAAACATCGACAAAATCAAGAAGCTAGTGCTCGAAAATCGACGTATGAGTCTGAGAGAGTTGGCTAGTGAGGTGAACATATCTTTTAAGTCCGTCCACAACATTCTCATTGACATTTTAGGCATGAAACGCGTCGCCGCTCGACTAGTTCCAAAAGAGCTTAATTTTGTTCAAAGAGCGCAGCGAAAGCATGTCGCTGAAGACATGGTTCCCCGAGCTTCTACGGATCCGACCTTTATGAAACGTATAATAACTGGCGACGAGACATGGGTTTATGAGTACGACATGCAAACAAGCCAACAATCTTCAGAATGGCGTCTCGAAAACGAGCCGAAACCCAAAAAACCGCGGCAAAGTCGCTCCAAAATCAAGGTGATGCTGACATTTTTTTTTGACTACCGTGGTGTGGTTCACTCCGAATTCCTTCCAAAGGGAGAAACAGTGAATAAAGAATATTATTTAGGCGTCATGAAGCGTTTGCGTGGGAGTATCCGCCGAAAACGTCCAGATTTGTGGCAACACAACTCATGGATGCTGCACCATGATAATGCACCATCACACACAGCCATTATAGTGAAAGAGTTTTTAGCGAAAAATTCAACAAAAGTTCTCGACCAAGCACCGTATTCACCTGATATGGCTCCGTCTGACTATTTTTTAATTCCCAAGTTAAAATTACCACTTCGAGGAAAACGTTTTGAGTCGATAGAAGCCATAAAAAAAAATTCGCTGAATGAGCTAATGGCCATACCGCAAATAGCCTATGAAAAATGTATGGAAGACTGGGTGAAGCGTTGGAGATGTTGTATTGCAAGCGATGGGGCCTACTTTGAAGGCGATAAAATAAATTTAGATGAATAATTTGTATTTTTTGTTTTATTGACAAATTCCCGATATTTAGTACACAGAATGTACAAATAATTGTTTCGGGTCTGCATGTTTATCCTTGTGCAATTTATGTTTATAAACTGCCTCCACGATAGAGGAGAAAATCCTAGAGTGGGGTAACGTTTGAAAAAAATACAATAAAAAAAATTATAGGGCAACATTGGCCATCGGCGGAGATCCGGAGGGGAGTATCCATAGTGTTTTTCTCCGATACTGTACTGTCTGCTATTTTGCGGGGGAAATCAGCGCACACAAAATCTGTCAACTATCACTACGAAAGTCATAACAATTAAAACAATAAGCTATCAATTTCACATACACTTAGATACATTATAACAGTATCACTCGGTGACAGCGACAACTCGGATACAGACTTGGATCAGTCGCTCGACCGATCTGTATATGGTATGAGGGCGAGCGGCCTGTGTTCGTAAACAAATCCGAAACAACACAACCGTTAATTGTATTTTTTTAGTTTAAAAAGAAATAAGTAGCAATAATGTGATTAAAAATTATTTAAATATGAAAGGTAATGTCCATTTTTTGTAATTTTGACGTGGCAGATCTATTTTTGCAGCAAAAAAATTGATTTAGTGTAAAAAGCAGTGCGGCTGCAACTAGTTTTATTGTACGCATGAATTGCGTGGACCTATACCACAGAATAAATAATAGTACAAGAACAGAAGGATCACTTTCCGGTAGCACACTTGCGAGTTTAAACCTAGTTACAACGTTGTTAATGTTCATAATAGAAGTGACATTCGTGAAATTAACCTATATCGAAACAAACAACATGCGGCGCGCGTATTAAATCAAAATGCACCTTACGTCCGCGTGCGAGTGTCTTTATCACTCAGCCTTACGCGCCTTTCTTAAGGCCGCCCCTACTGTAGGGTTAGTTAGGTGTTGTGAGAAAACAAATTGAATCCTTTTATATATCTTGGTATATAGTAGAATACACCGAGGTGTTATGCAATGTATTAGTATTTTTTTATTTTGGTTAAAAAAACACGAGGATTTTCTCCTGTATCGTGGAGGCAGTTTACAGACATAAATTGCGCAAGGACAAACATCTAGACCCGGAACAATTAATACAAATAATTGTTCCGCACGGGATTCGAACCCGCGGCCCCAGCGTTGCAACTCATTGCTAAGTCACTGTCCCACGGAGCTGTCGAATTGGTTTTAAAAAGTCTATAAACTTTTGGTTTTTACATATTTTTATAATTCCCATCTTCGGCAGTGTTTCATCTTTGTTTCTAACAAAGGCCAACTTCATTATATCACCGATATACATTTAATATATAACCATAACCAATTATTTCAATTAAGTATGTATAAATAAAGAAATAGAGTTAAACTTTATGTGTTAATGTTTTAAATATAATAGCATTCCCCGTAGAGGTGGAGACCTGGTGACCTGTAATACGGGTATCTTACCCACCATAGGCACCAGCGATCCACGGGCAAAGTTGTTTTGTACTACTTATATGCTACTTTTAACTCTAAATGTAACTTTGTTTGTGGTGAGAAATAAACGTTATTATTATTATTATTATCTCAATTCACTACATATTTCCTTACTTCGGCATGTACGACACGTACAAATACTACCGACGGACTGTCAATAAATGGTACATGCACAAACATCCAGACCCACAATAATTATTTATAGACCATACTAAAACTTGATCAGTGCCAGGTTAGAAGCCGTGTCCCGCAGCGCCGCAATCAAATGCTTTGTCATTGCGCTACTGAGACGTCAAATGGTAACCCTTAATTTGAATGAGGATGGCGTTTTCGAACGAGGTCTGTTGAGCGTGGGAAGAAATGAAACTCCTCATGAAAGGATTCCGATCGTAGTAGTATATACGCTGATGGAAGAATGAGGGAATATTCCTAAGGATCGGCTTCGGTTGGTAGGACCTATGCCCAATCGCATAACATCTAATAGTTTATAGCTAGTGCAGGTAATGCGGTGTTCAAAAGTAAAAAAAAAAACATGCGCGAGTGTTCCACGACGGTTCGAACAAAGTTCCTTTCGTAGTATACTATAATATATTATTGATTAACAAATACAAATAAGTGAATTACTGGCGTCCATTAAAATGAATGATCATTTGAAATAATATTGTTTGCTTTTATGGCAAGATAAGAAAAAGTGCGACAAATTTTTTTTTTTATAGTATAAGGGTGACAAACGAAAACACAGTCCACCTTATGGTAAGTGGTTGCTGTGGCCCATAGACATCTACATCTATCTTCGTTTGCGGATTAAAATACAGATGCGTTGTCAGCCGTGAGGACTAAGATAGAATGCCTCTTTTCCAGTAAAAAGGGTCTCCGGTTCTCTACACTCGCCTTACGAAACACAGCAGTCAAAAAACATCTTTGACAGCAGTGTTAAGCTGCTATTTTACGCTGGTATTCTGTGAGAGCGTGGTCCTTCCCCGGTCGAGCCGACCCATTCGTGCTACAACTATAATGCTATTAATATAGCTGCAGCTGGCTCTACCACGTAAAAAATGGATGGATATAATTCCATCTCGCTCGCACTATAGCTTTCTATAGGGGTCGTGACGGAAAAACCTACACTTTTCTCGCCTAGCCGCCATCCGTCAAATTCGTACAGTATAAGGAAATTTGTTCCAAAAATATTTTTTACAAATAATTCCTGTTTGTCAGATATCAGTTTTCAGTAAAGTTAAATGCTTTTAGTAAGCATTTCGTATAAGCCTGTAAAATATACGTCAAATCCTCACATATTCGAAACGGTCCCAGAGCAGACGATGAAGACTGATAATAATTATCTATCATAAATAAATTCACGTTTTTTTTTTAATAGCTGGGTCGAGGTATTCAAAGAAAGATTGCTGAAGGAGTCGTAAAGAGAGAAGATGTTTTCATAACAGATAAGGTACCATTTTTTATTAATTGTAAATAACAATAAGTCGTATAACTGAGGCTGTTTAAAGGATATTTAAAACTAGAATTTAATATTCTGCCATTGTTCAACAAGACGCGTAAATCGATTCTTTTGTTTTGTTTTTTATGTTCAATATACGTCCTTCTATTAAGCGTTTTCAACGCGACGTTAATTTTTGTACACATAGTATAGAATGAACATCTTTACTAACATCAGATTCACTAGTAACATATAAGTCAATGACCTAAGTATATTAATATTATATAACAGTGTCGCAGTATAAATATGAATATATTTACTGTGACAGTGTCATTTGTTGCAAATTGCAATGCGTTTTTCGGCGGGAACATCACAACAATTCACCATTTTTATCGTAATCCGATCGTAATCGGATAAATGGCTTAAATTATGCATACAGGACAATAAACATTAATTATTATTATATATAAGTACCTATATATATTTGAATGTTTGTGAAAATGTTGGGGTTTATTAATTTTACTTAATATTTTGGTTGAAATTAGATACCTATACGTAAACCATTAATTGATTTCACACATGGGATGCATAAATGTCTTTGGGTACCGTTTCTTCATTTTGTTTTATTTTAACAGCTTTGGAACGACGCACACGCACGCGATGCTGTGGTGCCTGCTTTGCGGAGGTCTTTAGAAAAGCTTTCTATGGATTATGTGGACCTATACCTTATACACTACCCTGTCGGACAATTCGTGAGTTTCTGTAACTTATTTTATAAAAATTCAAACATATATATATTTTTTAATCATAAACAGATGCCTTCTTATCACCGAGGACTAAGACGTACTATACGAAGCAAAGTAGCATTACGCTGTTACTTTATCTGTAAGAGATAGATATATATGTGCTTCGCTTATCCATTCAAAGCGACTTATTGATGCAGCAGTGTTGCTCACGTTAAATTATTAGTTTATTATGTGTTTTTGAGAATTATTTCGTTGAATTTTACATAATACTTAATTTTATCTACAATATTAAAAACTATGATAATAAAAAAAAAAACTAAAACTAGAAACTTAATTATCATATAGTCCTACTCCCCGCGGTATCGTGCCAAGAACGCTGGCTGCGTTTCCCCGCTGAATGGCTATACTTAGCCTTTGAGCGAGGAAAGAACCAGCCCTCTTATCACCAGCAGCAACGACCAGCCGCGGATGGAGTTCCTTTAGGAACTTCACAGCACATGGACCCCACGGACCGATAGTCTCTACAGCAAATGGCACAAATATGTAGTCATCTCTCAGAGACTCATATTTGCGCCACTTACTCAGCTCAGCTGCCTCTGATGCCGCCCCGGCTTTAAACGAGGTACCCCTGAGATGAGAGGCCGCCAGAGTGTCTACGCAAGTAGAATCCTACACTAGGGCTTTACCTCTCTCCCAAGGGACCAATGTCATACCGTCGGGTCTCTTGCCATCGTCTCTAAATATTCCACAAGGCTCTAAAACCGAGGGAACATTTATAGAGGCAAGAGCCCTTCGGATGACATCGTTCAAAGAACTGTGTCGTGAAAACCTACCAGCGCTTTTCTTACATGAAAGTCCGTGGAGCCCAAACTTGTCGACGCTGCTACCACAGGGGCACTGATGGGGTTGACAAATCGCCGCTCCTAGTCGGATTCCTACGGCAATACGCAAGCTTTCCCTATCAAGTAATGTGCCGAGATTACTTGATGGTAAAGCGTGTAACCAGTGACTAGATTCCTTAGTCGAAACAGCTAGAAGGCGTGCCTTATCTTGGTCACTATGGAAATTATGAAACAAATCCTTCTACACGCCCTGTACCAACGGAATATCCCACTGTTTTTGTTGGTTAACTTCCAGTGGAATATTTTCACCAGGACAGAGCGTTTGCCATGTCTGCCCTGCCTCCGTAGCAAAGCATAGGTCTACTTTATTATTTAAAATTATGTTACATAAGTCACTGACACTATGCACGGAAGCAAGGAAAGCAGGCAATGCAACGCTAGAAAGATTTCTCACACCAATGCCACCAAATTTTATAGGTAAAGTAGCTTGAGTCCAGGCTGTTGTATTTAAAGTTAAATTTAGAATTTTTCTATAGCAATTTTAAGATTATTATCAATATCTTGTAAAATATCCGAACATTTCCAGACTGGACTCGAGCGGAGTAAGTATGTAAATCTAGGTACAAGAAGACAATATTTTAAAATAGTAAGAGCTATGTGGGGGTTTAATTTATACAATTTATGAACGTGGTTTAATACTATCGAAAAACAACGGGGCAGCAGGTATAGTGATTCCGTATTGACAGTTTTTATTCCTGGACAAATATGATTAAAATTTTGAATTAAGGTGTCTCTATGAGAAGTAGATAAATTATTGGAAAAAAATATTTCACATTTATTGCTATTTGGTTCAAGGCCAATATTTTTAAAATTTCGAAGAATATGAGTAAGATCGCTGAGGACATCATCTGCTCTACCTCCCAGTGTACCGTCGTCTAGGTACCAGACATTCAGCTTGGATTTCAAATTTGAAATAATGGGTTGAATTCCCAAACTGAAAAGTGCTGGACCCAGAGGGTCACCCTGCTGAACACCAACAGCAGAATCGATAACATGGTTTTCGTAAAACAAGTTAGTATTTTGACTATAACATTGCCAAACGTAATGATAAATTTCGGGGGTATTGTTAGCCACTTCTTTCAGCAAGGTTACCCTATCGATAGAGTTAAAATCATTCCTTAGGTCAACCTTCACAAGAACATCTGCATCAGAGTTTGTTAAAAATGTACGCACTGAATGTACGGCCGCCTCACAGCCACCTCTAGTGCCAAAACCTAGTTGAGTAGGTTGAAAGTTGGTCATAAGGTTAGAGATTATGTACCTGCAAGCTAATTTTGAAGTTAAGCGTCGAAATGTGGAACCAACGGCAATAGGACGGACACCGTTATCCTTTTTTTTGAAGGCACATAATCTTGCCCCATATAAGAATGGAATGAAATTTGGATTAACATTACCAGAAAGCATAAAGTTACATAATTTTGTAATGTCTTTAAGAAGTACTCCGCCGGCGTCACCGGCAGAAGCGCTTACAAGATCTTTAAGATGTTGAGGCGTAATTCCGTCAATGCCGCCAGCAGAGCCATTCGAAAATGACATAATTGCTTCTAAAGTGTCTTTTTCCGAAATTTGTAAAGGTTGCATAGAAGTCTTGGGAGGCAGCAGTAAATCCTGAGACGGTTTGACCGAAGGATGCTTTTGACGAAGGCTTTCAAGAGTTTCGACATTACGAGGAGCCAGGATGTCGTCTGAGAATAAAATACGGGATGCATTTTTTAAGTCGCCATCCATTACTTTCGACTCAACTACTTTTTTTAAATCAAATTTAGGACGTGGTCGAGATAAATGAGTATTAATTGGGTAATCTAAATTTTGAAAAGATGTCTCTTTTAGTTGAGACGTAATTGATTTATTTATTGTTTTATCAAAATGAAAATGAGAATACGCGAAAGTAAATAATTTTTGCCAACTATTTTCACTATTAGTGAAACAATTTTGAATAGTGCATGACAATGCTTTACAAAGCTGCATCCTCGCACCTCTAGGAATTCTTTTAACCATTGGTACATTACGATAATAATTGTAAATTTGCATTGTAAATTTGCTCCGAAAAAAGGGAAACATTTGTGTCAATAGAGGAATTGCTAAAAAAGTTATGAATTTCTACGGCAGGCTGTGAAGCCGAAATACTTTTACTATGGCATCGTTTAATATGTATATTTAATCCCCTTTTACCTTTAAACAGCCTACCGTCAGCACAATTTTGACACTGTAGGAAATCCGACTGTGAATGTAGAGGAGCAGAGATATTCATTAAAAAATCTAAACAGATCTCTACAACACTCAAAAGTCTTTATATTACATATTCATATTAACTTCAAATGTGCTGTACCCCGCATCTTTCCCTGAAACAATCATTTACGGCCTAAATAAAAGCACTTTACTCTATAAATGAAATATTATTACATTACTTCCCTGGATTTATTCCATATTTATAAACATTGTATGTATAGTCGTTACGCTTTGACAGTTGTCAACGGCGCAGCAGAAATATTTTTCTTTATTGATTACTATTATGTCTGAAATCAAAAAATTATTATTATAACAACTCTCTTATATATTTTCTGATCTTTTTGTTGAAATTTGTAAGCCAGAAATGGCCTCCAAATAACAAAATAAAATAATATAAATATACGTAACTTTTGACAGTGAAAAATTTTGACATTAATTTCGTTGAATTTAAATACTTAAGGCGAAATAGTATCGTGGTCAGAACGGGGAGCGGCGATATGCTTCTGTTTGGCCGGCCCGCGCGCAATTTTATTGCACGATATTTATTTGACATTTCTTTTTCAAATGAAACATACTCTTTTATTGGAAAATTAACCCATGATTCCCCCATCTATTTACTGGTGAACGCATAGACAGAATTTAATCGAAATTGCTTCTATTATATTCAAATGAAACTGCTTTTTGCCTTAATTGACGTAGGTACCTAAAATTGTAGATTTTGTGGAAACTGCGATTTTTTTTGTATCGAGCCAAAATGTGTCAATGGAGTTTTGGCCATCATAATTTATTTATGCACAAAAGAAAAATCATACATATAGACTTATTGCCTTAAGGCGTTCATTAGGCTAAGCAGAGATAAACATATGGGAGGTAGTGCAACAAAAGTAAACTAATAATGAGAAAAAAGGTAACAAAGTTCGGATAAACCACAATATATATCATAACATAATTCACTAAGGAAAATCTTTTAAAAAAAGGTGAATTCGTCGTTTTTAATGACAAAAAAATTGATTTTCTGCGTACCCACAAAGCGTCAGAAATCTGCTGCTAGTCATTTCACCTACTTGTAGTTACATTGTAAGAGGGAACATCACCCGGTCCAACATTTGGAAAAGCCAATACGATTTTGCGACAACTGCTGATGATTGGACTATTTCGGGCTGATGTTAACGAAGAATTATATTTTAATATTTGGTTTATATTAAGTGTATTTTTTAATATATAAGTAACACTGTGTCTTACAACTTTAATTCTAGGAAAACGGCACATATGACCTTACCGACTATCTAGAGACTTGGGAGGGCATGATCGAAGCTCAGCGGCAAGGCCTCGCTAAATCTATCGGAGTTTCAAATTTTAATTCGCACATGATAGAGAGGATTGTTAAAAATTCATGCGTTAAACCGGCGGTGGCGCAGTTTGAGGTACGTAGATTCTATTTAAGTGTAGCGTAAGAGTTTTCGCATACATCATCGTCCTGAATAATATTTTAGTAAACTTGTTAAGGACAAGATTTCAAATTTTATATTAAATTGTTGCATTACATTTTTAGACTTTCTAGTTTTTGATTGAAATAAGTTTGATATTTAACTTCTATTTTTATCACATTTTACATACGATTTCAGCTTAATTTGCAAATACAGCAGCCTTCTCTGCTGAAGTATTGCCGTGATAATGATATAGCTGCAATGGCTTATTCTCCTTCTGGATCCCTTTTCCACCACAAAGCATTGCCAGGCGCACCGCCGCCGCGTGTCGAGGACCCCGTCCTCAAGCAGATAGCTGACAATCACAACAAGACGGTGCCGCAAATCGTCTGGAGACATCTGGTAAATAATTGTTGAACCACTGGTTATACGTACGTCTTCATCTTTTTCAGTTTGTAATATTCATTACTTAACATTAACCTCTAAGGGCAGTGGGACCCAGGCGATCGCCAGTAGCATAGGCATCATGGGGCGGGGGCACCTCAACCCACGAATCACTCATATCATGACAGTTGGCAGTGTTTCACCTTATTTGCGTGAAAGCATGTAAAGCTATTGATCCAGTGCCTGAACTGCCTCCAGTAGTTTTGGATTGCTGTCCCATCGCACTATGAAAGCGAGGGTTCAGAAAGTGCACTTTGTTACCAGTCATACGTAGATGGCTCGTCTCCGTTGTGACCAGCCGCCGTGATCGAGGATTTTAATGATCAAAAACACAAATAAATGCTACTATGTACAACCTTAAGAAGGTTTTCTCTTTGTTATACAGATTTGTAAAAAATAACATTGGAATAGTTGAAATATATTTTGAAACTAGAGATCCACCCCGGCTTAGCACGGTTAATATCTGGATTCCAATGTGAATCTAAAACAATCTCAAATCAACCTCAAAATTTCAGTAAGATCTGTACAGCCGTTAAGGAGTTTAGTAACATACACACAGACAGATGAATTATATAATATATAATATGTATGTATTATACATATAAACTTTTACCTTAATTCATTCTGTCTATTGCTGAAAACCGCATCGAAATCCGTTAGGTAGTTTAAAAGATCTAAGCGTACAGAGCGGGAAGCGACTTTGTTTTATACTATGAAGAGATAGAATTCTTCTAGCTCTATACACAGATACATAATATACAAATCCTAGAATATCAGAAATCATTTCACCTTAGTCCAAATGTCAACGCATACTAATGTGATTCCCGATTTAGATTCTCAATCGAGGATAGATGTGCCTCAGAGTCCACTTACTATCAGGTGGATTGTGTGCTCGGCTTTCTTTATCGGCTCTTACTAGGTACTTAATAAAAAAGTAAACTTTTTTATACTATAACTAGCTGTTCCCCGCGACTTCGCTCGCGTGGAATTTATTACAATTGGATTTCATGAGTTTTAATTTTTTTTACGCGGAACACTAATTCTTTTTCTAAAATAAAAGTAGCCTAAGTTACTCCTTATAACATCAGCTATCTGCCAGACTCAATCTGAAAGTCTCGTAAAAATCGCTCCAGCCATTTCGGAGATTAGCCGGAACAAACAGACAGACAGATAGACAAGAAATTATTAAATTGTTTTTGTTATTAGTATCATTTAAACTTTCGTATGCATTTAGTAAAAAGCTTTTTACATTACAAAGAGACACTTAAATTTTATTTACTTGTATAGTTTTTCTTAATTTAAAATTTTCGTCCCGCAGATCGAACTTGGAGCCATTCCCATTCCAAAATCGATAACCAAGTCAAGAATAGAAGACAACATTGACGTGTTTGATTTCAAACTGTCGCGCGAGGAGAGTGTGTTTTTAGGCGGCTACGATGTAAACTATAGAACCGGAAAGTTGTGGTCCGACTCACCTTATTATCTAACAAGAAAATTATATTTTTAAGCAATACCATTATGTACACAACAGCTGTTTCTTTTTGATTCTAAAGTAATTGTTACATGTCTTAATTTGGATAAAGTAAATTTCATTAAACTTTTATGAAACTTTATTTAATAAAAACTAACACATTAACCTTTTTCCTGTGCGATATTGACGTAAGGGATTTGGGTGGTATATGATTTTATTTGAAACTAAAATAAACGAACGGTTTTCATCTATCGCCTCGAAACCACCCAATAACCTTCATGTGTAGATGTGTGTGTTACAATACGCTAAGCTATGTGAGACTTCTTTCCTTCGTGCGTAGATGTGTGTGTTACAATACGCTAGGCTAAGTGAGACTTCTTTCCTTCATGCGTAGATGTGTGTTACAATACGCTAGGCTATGTGAGACTTCTTTCCTTCATGCGTAGATGTGTGTGTTACAATACGCTAGGCTATGTGAGACTTCTTTCTTTCATGCGTAGATGTGTGTGTTACAATACGCTAGGCTATGTGAGACTTCTTTCCTTCATGCGTAGATGTGTGTGTTACAATACGCTAGGCTATGTGAGACTTATTTCCTTCATGCGTAGATGTGTGTGTTACAATACGCTAGGCTATGTGAGACTTCTTTCCTTCATGCGTAGATGTGTGTGTTACAATACGCTAGGCTATGTGAGACTTCTTTCCTTCATGCGTAGATGTATGTGTTACAATACGTGAGGCTATGTGAGATTACGTATTACGTTATTCCAATAGAGCACTATAGGTATTAGTCCCCGATTCGCTTAGTGTGTGTTTTAAAATTGCATTTTTTATTCAGTTCTAAAAAAATCGAAAATATATAGATTATTTTTAATGATATAATGACAGTCTAGTAGTGTAACGCCTTGTTTATGCAGCTAACACTAAACAAAAGTTACAGGCAAAAACTAAAAATAGAATGCCTCAAAAGCCTTTTATTTTGCTCTCACTCTTTCTTTCTCTCTCTCTCTTTATTAGTCAACTTCAAAAAGGAGGTGGTTTTTATAGGATAAGGGTGACAAACGCGCACACAATGACACACTCGACCGGAGTTCTTTCCTGCCTAGGAAGCCTACGAGTTCCTGCCTAGAAGTAACCTGTTTTTGCCAAGGAGCATTGCTATGCTCCAGTCTGAAGGGTATGGAGAAGCATAATAGTAACAGTTCGTGAACTATTTCAACTTGTCTTAAGGGTGACGAGACGAGGATTCTGCAGCCTTCTTTTTTGAGGTTGGATTTAGGTAGGTTGGTTGAGGTTAACATCGGGTGGACTGTTAGCTTGTTCGTCTATTTAAAGGAAAATGTGAATGAGTTTGATAAACTCAAGTTTCCTAAATTTTAAATCTACTCTCAGGATATTCATATAGCTAATTCCTGTATATGCTTTAAGGGGATTATATCTTATAAATTACTTATAAAACTTTTATTCTAAAGTAAGTAAGAATTATTTGATTCATATTTTTTACAATCAATATTACTATTTAAAATTGACAACTTTAAAAGAGTATATCAAAACTTATGGATACGTGGTTGAGTGCTCCGTGGCGCTGTGGCTTCGCAATTCAGTTGCAGCGCTAAGGGCCGCGGGTTGGAATCGTATCGGAACAAGTATTTGTATGGCCTACACATAATTGTTCCGGGTCTGGATGTTTGTGCTTTTGCAATTTACGAGTATGTTTGTAAACTGTCTCCACGATACAGGAGAAAATGCTAGGGGAGGTTACGTTTTTTTTTTAAAAAATAGTATACTATTTAATATGCTACGATATCAGTTACATTCTATAAAATAATAAAAAAACACGTTTGCAGTGCACACGCAGTAGAAGTGAAACCTTCAAATAAAATGAAATATAAAATAAAAATATTTCTTGGCAAATTATTTATTTATTATGATCATTTTCATAAAATATAAGATAAAAGTTTCATTTTATAGAAAACAAATGTTACAATCCTTATTTTTAGTGCAATAAGTCAAAAGAATATTTTCTTTCGGGTAAAATTGTTTTGTAATAGCGCTATCTACTTTATTTTTTCAAACAGAAATTGAGTGACCCTCAATGTGGTATATAAGATAGGCGCTAGATGGCATATAGTATAAGAATAATTTAATATAAATCGGTAAACTATGAAATCATAGTGAATGAATTAGGCCCGCCACATACATACGGAATTCCGTTTCCGGATTCCGATTCGGAATTCCGAACGCAACAACTCCATATACTGGGTGGCGATTAGGTTATTACATTAAATAACAAAGCGATATATACAAGTTCATATATGTCGGTTAAAATAATAAAATAAACAATTCTACCAAAAATAAAATGCATCTTTCAAACAAAATAAATATAGTAAAAATTGACACGAAATAAATCACCTTGATAATATTAGTTTACTGACCAGAAGTGACATGTAAATGCGGCAACGGTGCGGCAGGTGCGCAGTGCTCACGCGGCATCGACATAGGTGATTATTTACTTTATTTAGATATTTATCTTTGCTTGGTTGGGAAGTGTTAATGCATTCACCATATAGTACTGACCTTGACCCTCAGATTTTTACCTGTTTCGGTCTCTTACGAATTATTTGGGTAGTGTTAACATCAAGAGAGGACTATCAAATCTATTTGTCGCATTTTTTTTTTTGATTAAAAGTCCCAATATTTCTACAACAACGGGATTATGTTACTACCTGCAAGATGGCAACAAGTTATCAAACAAAATGGCTCATACATATTATTAACCACCTCAACGCACAATGAGGAGACCGAAATATTAGAACACACAATTTTTTTTTAATAAATAAATTTTAAAATAAAAAACCATGCCATTTAAATTACTAAAACTCCATTTGAACACTATTCGCAATCTTAAAATAGAGTGACGGATTCGAACCTACAACCTTTTGAGTTCGCAGTCTGCTCCCAGCCATTAGGCTACTGTCGCTTACTAAGCTGTGTTCTATCTCATTCTCACGCAGGCTAAATTCTATAGATGTTTATTGTTTACGTTTGTCTCTTGTTAGTGTCGATTTTTCGTTTCATCCAGTTTTAAATAACAACGATGCTAAAGAAGTTTTCACTTCAGATAGATAACGTGCTTATCTTTTGTATTGTGAATGTTGTTTTACATACATAGGTACATTGCACAAAGAGAAACATCCAGATCCGGAACTATTATTTGTAGCCGTATAAACATTTGCTTCAAGCGAAATTGGAATCTGCAGTACCGCCACCAGTCTCTTTATATAATTAGGGTCACAAGCGAGCACACAGTCTACTCAATGGTAAATGGATACTGTGACGTATAGATATCTACATCTATCCTCAATTAAAACCAAAATATTAGCATTTTGATTTTTAATTGAGGAAAGTATCTCCGGTTCCCTTCACTCGTAAGAGTTTAATTATGATTTAATTACGAAACACAGTAAAGCTGCTGTGTTTCGTATAACCTTTAAGTTTAGTGATTTTTGGAAAATTACTATAGGTAGGGTGTAACTGTAATATATGCATCTACCTACATTTTCTTATATCCGTATCGGAAATAGGAAAACAAATAAAAGAAAAACTATAATTAGTTAGAGTTTATTACATTCAAAAATGTAAGTTATACACGTAGACAAAATGCCCTAACTAAGTTAAACATTAAATAAAGCTACCGGCTGATGTTGAAAAAATTTTAAATAAATTTTTGCAATCATATTAACAAATTAATAATCATAAAAAATAGAAAACTAAATGAAGTTAATTATTTGGCATGTGTTTGCTGAATATAAATCGATAATGTATTAAAATATATTATTCTAATAGCATAAATACAATATCGATTATTAATTTAATATACATAAACATTTACTGGACACATTAAATTTTATCGCGGGTTATAAGGTTAACACACAAAACGCACACGGAGTTTACAGTTTATTAAAGGTCACTACCGTTTCGCGTCGCAACAGTTAGTTCTAGAATATCAGAGGCCGCACTAGCTAATATTGCCTAATGCACTTATGCAGATTCTGAGTCAAACACAATGAGTCCCTGGGAAGCTCTCCAGCAGGAATGCGCGTCACAATGATACACCGTATATTTACTGGCCACGCCGAATTATTCCGAGTTCCCTAACAGAATACAGCGTGCCAATCGTTGGCACCGCTTATGCACGACTGACTTTTCACTCGCGACCCGCGCGCCACTGCCACGCTCGGAAGAACTTCAAACCGGTATCGCCCAGAGCCGCGCGCCCCCTAGACGTCGATTTCGATAACAGCGTTTTGCGCGAACAAACCCCCGTCCCGGACATAAGGATTTAGGTCCGCGAGCAAACCGGTCAGCGGGACAAGGTCGAGACTGCAAGTTGCAAGACTGAATCTACAACCAAACTAGGCCACCTTAGGCAACCGATCAGATCTTGCAACCCTAACCAATGCCTCAAAAGATAGCCCTAATGTGGCAAGCCGGAGGGTCAGCCTCCACTGGATGCCTCTCCTGGGCATCGCAGCACTTTAATAAGTCCTGTACTGGACAGAAGTCCGACGACCTCTTTCAAACACCTATCTGTGCCCCTATGATTAGTTCCGCAATCCGACCGGATCAGCTCTGCAAACAGCGACGCTACACGAAGCTGCCCAGACAAATTTTGTGCCAGCAGTTGCTTCAGTGCAGAGCGCACCCACAAATTCCACATGAACGTCGTCTGTGGAGAGCCAAACGAAACGCACAGATAGTCCCTAGTATGAATTTTCAACCAGTAGGCCTAGCCAGGCCACCCACCATATTGTCATCTACTAAAATAGTGCGGCAGCTGATTTCAATCTGATAATCTCCAAAACTAGCTAGCCTGTTAGACAAGTAGTCCTATGCTCATATTTCAACTAATTTTTCAAAAGCATCAATGTTCAACTACAGAATTAATTCAACCAAATTAATCACCGATGCGCATAGGTCAACTTGCAAATTAAACAAAACAATAACGTAAGGGACAGCCCTACTTCTTCGCAAAGCAAAATGATTAAACACTATCATAAACATATAGATAATTTTTCAAATAGTGCGCCATTCAATTTCAAATGAATTCAAATTTTCCTTTCAGCAAACAGACGCAACAATCAA